TTTCTCATTGTGTTCCACATGCGTTCTAATTTATGTCTAGCCTTTATTCTGTTCCAAATCAGTTTAAGTGATTTATCCTTCCTGTCTGTCTCCTCCATTTATTCTTGTTTGCTTGTGCTTCCACTAAAGTTTCCTGCTCTGCAGGAGCAACGGCTTGTCCGCCTGCCCTGTTGACCCGCCTCACCAGTTCACAGGGGAGCTGACTGCGCATGAACAAATAGATGGCTAGCGCGGCCTATCGGGTGCTACAGGCTCGACAGCTGTTTGGTTGAGCAAATCCCTAACTGTATGGATCTGCAAAATGTTACAAAGACACAAGCTGTGAGGAGAAGTGTGATTGATTGGGAGCATTCAGTAGGATAATTTGCTGAGAGGGAATTGCAAGTTTCTTTTGATTGGAACTGCAGAGAACGGCTGTCTAAGGAAGTGTGTTGGGGATGTGCGTAACTGAGCTTGTGCTCCGCCGCTGAGCTATACCTGCAAACCCAGGAGGAGGCATTTCGGTGCCAAGAAGCTGCTGGCTATGTGTGCCAGCACTCTGGAATGGGCTAGATAGTAGCCACTATAAAAGCTGTAAGGAACTAGTCTAAGACAACTAAAGAGGAGACAGCTGGACCTAGTAAGGTTCAACAGACAGAGGAAGCGGGCCCACGAGTCTGTGGACTCTAGGCAGGTGCACTTACTCTTTGAAAGAGGAACGACAGGGTGGGACCGTCTTTTCCACCCGCTCAGTTCACCCGAACTTGCCCTAACGGCCCTGAGACCACATCTCCTTCCATCTCCCTCCAGTCTGTCGCTCCACCCAGCTGACTGTACAGTCCCTTTACCCCTCCAAACACACTTCTGTCTCCGGTTTTTGCTTTTACATGTAGCAGAGTTTTCTACCTAATCTTGTTTTTAAAATATACATATGTGTGCACCTTTATTGCTTTTCTTGGCATTTCAACATACTGCACAGTTCATTTCTCGATCTTTCCCATTAGAATACAAGACAGTGAGAATGTTGTTACATTCTCTGCTGTACCCCCAGCTTCTAAAAGATTCATGGCAGCTAAAAGACAATAAAAAAAAAGTTGGATGAGTGAGTGAAAGTATAACGTGCTGTTTGAGGAATGGGTGGGAGGGAGAGCCATGCAATACAGGGTCAGAGGTGAGCAAGTTCCACAGCGTATGAAGTTTTAAATTTTAGCGTTGGTAGGAATTGGGGCTAGTGAGATCAAGCAAGGGAAGGGAGGTGTTATCTGGCTGGCAGTGACTCAAGTCTGGAGAGTGAATTGTGGTGGACAGAAAGATTTCATTCGGATTTTCTACAACAATGAGATGGGTAGCTGTACTCTACTCCTACAGATGTGTCTGCAAGTCGACTGAAGGGTGGACCAGACTGGGTTCCTGCTTCAGGCTGCGTATCTGCCTGGGACTGGTTCTCAGGACTTCCTTGTGTTTTCTTTATGAGTGGGACTCAGGCCAAAAGGCCAGCAGCAGCTCTGAGAATTACAGATGTGCAAGAGAGTAAACTCAGGCTAAGGATGTTGCTCCTTTGCTGGAGTACTTACCAAGTACACACACAGCCCTGGGCTTGGTCCCAAACACCACATAAACCAGGTGTGATGGTGCGTGTCTTTAATCCCATCATTTGGAAGGTAGATATAGGAGAACCAGAAATTCATGGTCACTCTTGCTTACATAGCAAGTTCAAGGCCAACCTGGAGTATATGAGACCCCCGATGGAAGAGGAGATAGTGAGGGGATGGTAAGGAAGCTGAAGCTTGAATCCATGCCACCTCTGCTGAGCTCTCAACATCAGCGGCAGAGATAATCAACAGAGAGAAGTGGTTTATAAAGAGGAACGACACATTGTGTCTCGTCATTTTGGAAGGTCCAGTCTGGGACTTTTTATCCCATTGCTTTGGAGCTGTGGTGAGGCAGCACACCACAATGGGAGCCTATAGCAGGAGAAAACTGCCCCCCTCATCATGGGAGGAGGGAAAAATGAAAGAAGAGTTTCCCAATAGGCCACACCTCCAGTGACTCAAAGGACCGCCCTATTAGAGCCCAGCTCTGGCAGCGCCACTGTCTCCCCATAGTACCACCCTGAGGACGAGGCTTTTCGTGGACATTTAACATCCAAATCACACCAGGGGAAGAACTTTATGCCAACAATGGGAAGGCTAAGGAGTGACTAATCAACACAGAAGACTAGATGGGAGACGAGGCTATCTCAACCTGGGAATGCATGGCTGTGATTCTCAAGTCCAAATGTAGCTTTGCCCAACCATAGACTCTCTAGAAATCAGATAGCCTGTCATAAACTGTACAGTTAAACGGTTCTCTAGAGACAGAGTTTTGAGAGATGAAAGCTTTTCACCTTTGTATGAACATTTAGATTTTACTGGCTTTACTTATATGTTATATTTATAATTTTCTGAAATAATAAGGTTGACCTGGGTTACATGGCTGGGCCATTTGCAGTTACACGTCTTTGGCGCTGTAGCAAGGAAATCACCACTTTAAGGAGAGAAACGTTAAAGAGAGTCCAGGGTAGGTGTCATCTATAAGGAGTAATATTTTATTTCATAAATTGTGTGGTTGATTCATTGACAGAGTTCAAGTATTATTCTTTTTGACAAATGACACACATCTCCTAACTAATTTTTACTTAATATTTTGAAAATAACATCAAAGAAATTGAGCAAGCTCTCTGGTGGTATACATTTGTAGTCACTTTCAAAGTGACTGGCAGGGTCTATTACAATTTTTCAGTGACTTTTATAGACTTTCAATGTTGAGTAAAGTCTAGATTCAACTCCTTGAATAATGAATGCCTGTGTCCAGGGATCTTGAGACGCCTACTCTGATTAGAGATAGCTTTGAATTCTCTAATATCCTCCAGGGTCTCTACCCACACATTGTGCCCCACCCCCTCTTCCCTGTGCCCTGGGCACCTCCACACCCCCATTCTCTCTCTCTCCTTCTGTCACAGCCTCTGTGGGCTTTCCTCCCTGAATACACTCCCAAAACGTAAAACGATTGAAGTTCTAAGATCAGTAACCAAGCAAATTTTTTTATTTTTTTTCTCCTGCCATAAAACCCCCAGCCTTCGTGTCTGCCACTTCCACAGAGAACTTGGAAAATGCAACCAAAAATTATTTGCGTTCCCTTGGCACCGCTGTCCCCACACCCCCTAAAGTGTAGGAACTGTTTTTGCTCCATCAGCTACTTAGAAGGCATATTGTTGTGCTGGAATGAGGTCCGCCCACCCTGATCTCATGGATGAAGCTCTGGAATGGTTATGTTAGCTGCAGACTGAAGGACAGGAATGTGTTCATTGGGAAGTTACGTTCCACGTTGTTTTCTCGGGAATGAACGCCGTCAGAACTGTAACCAGCAAAAATGTTTCCTGCTCACTGCCCGTTTGTTTGCGGTCTGTTGTTTCTTTGGTTGGCTATTTTGTTTTTTGTTTTATTTTGTCCGTTGCCCCTCCGGTAATCCAGGCCGGCCCCAAAATTGTGAGCTGAACTCCCAAGTGCCCGAATTACTCGAGAGAGCCACCACTCCCGGCTCATGTCTCGGGTTGAGGTGGGATGCCCACTGGAAGAATGCCGAGTCCTGGCTACTTCGAACATTTGCACTTGTTCTTTCTTTCTTTCTTTCTTTCTTTCTTTCTTTCTTTCTTTCTTTCTTTCTTTCTTTCTTTCTTTCTTTCTTTCTTTCCCTTCCTTCCTTCCTTCCTTCCTTCCTTCCTTCCTTCCTTCCTTCCTTCCTTCTTTCTTTCTTTTTCTTTTTTTTTTGTTTTTTTCGAAACAGGGTTTTTCTGTGTAGCTTTGCTCTTTTAAAAGATATTCTAGAACATTTCTAATCATGTAATTTCCTTGAAATATTTAAGAGTTTTGACTCAGAATCTGTTCAAGTGACAGACGGTTAGAAGTTTCTCCTATTGTGTACAATGTTTCCATTTCATGTTTCAGGGCTTAGCCTAAAAGCCCCAATGCACAGAATGGGTCTGTTCCCGTGGGTTTACATTCTTGCTTCAGTCTTATTATTTATAAAGCCTACTGATGTTTAATTCATTTTTCCACAAAATTCTGAATTAGTTAAACTGAAAAATGATTTTCTCTGGGCAAAGTGGCATGCAAAATTAAAGTTTAATGCCTTTTCTGGAATGCACAGTTCATAACCCACAAATGGCTCAGCTAAATTTCCTATAATAGGGTAGTTTATAGGCCAGTGGCGTCACCACAGCCTTCTCCACATTTCTTTGCCGAAAGCCCTGCTTTCTGAGAGACAGTCTGATCGTGAGAAGGAGTGCGGTGGATGGGGTGGGGTGGGCTGTGGTGAACTGTGGAACGCAAGCCAGGTCTACACAAGCACTCACACTTCCAACAGGTTGCTGCTTCCTTACTGTAACAAAGATCCACATGATGCCAGGCCATTCAGTTGATCAGAGGATCCTGGACTTTCACATGGAATCTCTCCTCTTTGAACAATGACAACTAAGCAATTTTTAAATCATTTTAAGAATGTGTACAAGCTATATGAGAGTGTCTACAGGGCTGAGCTGTGGTGGCCCATGCCTGAAACCCCAGCACCAGTCCCTGCACTGGGGAGGCAGAGGCAGGTGGATCTCTGACTTGGAGGCTAGCCTGGCCTACAGAGTGAGTTCCAGGACAGCCAGGACTAAACAAAGAAACCCTTCCTCGAAAGAAAAAAAAAAGGGGGGGAAAGAAAGGAAGGAAGGAAGGAAGGAAGGAAGGAAGGAAGGAAGGAAGGAAGGAAGGAAGGAAGGAAGAAAAGGAAGGAAGGGAAGAAGGAAGGAAGGAAGGAAGGAAGGAAGGAAGAGAAAGAAAGTGTCTATAGGCCTGTGCACCACCGCGTACGGAGTTCCCTGCTTACAGTAAAAATGCGTTTCCATCAACTCAAGCCTCTCTTTTGCAGAAAGGAATAAGTTGTTACGCAGCTCCCTCGCATTTTTAACATCTCTTCCTCCTCCTCTTTTTTGCCAGGTCACGTGCTGTCTCTGGTCTGTTCGAACTCTTCCCAGGCTTCCTGTGAGATCACAAGCGTGTCACAGCTGCTGCCTTATCCTGCCCTCTACACGAACCTGAGTTCCACTATCAACAATTTCAGCATTTCTGAAAATGTCGAAAATAAATACAGTCTCTATGGGGGCTTGGCACTGGCCATCAGCTCCAGCATTTTTATTGGTTCAAGTTTCATACTCAAAAAGAAGGGTCTCTTGCAACTGGCCAACAAGGGCATCACTAGAGCAGGTAAGAGACACACTCAACAGGCAAAGTCACCACTCGAGTTCTTGAGCACGTTCCTCTCTACCCAAAGAGCTTTTCCCTTTGCCCAGAACTCTCTGCCTTTTGTCTAGTTGACTCATGGCTCTGAATTCTGTCGTAGTCCACCTTCCTAGAATGGCCTCCCTCAATTTCTGTCATTGAACCGAACAGTTTCCTTCATTGCCTCTAAGGTATTGCATTATTGTTCATTTTAGTCATCAGGTTTACTTGTTTACTGGTAGCAGACTCATAAACCATGTACTCAGCAGTGGTTAGCACCCACCAAATATTTGTGGAATCAATGAATGAGTAGTAGTAGAATTATACTGCTATTTATAGTGACATTCCAGATGCCAAGTAGCCTGTTTGATTGCATTAGCCACACATTTATATTCATTGTCATGAACTGTAATAGCACAAGAAACTTAAATATTTTTTCCTGGGTCACTATGGAAAAATAAATGACTGTAAATTATGTAAACAAGTTTCTGAAGGAGTCGTGAGAGAGGAGCATTGCTCCATCAGAAAATACACTATATTTTGGTCTTAATGAAAACAATTTGGTACTGGAATTAAAACAAATAGTAAGAGATTGTTGAAAATGTCCAGGTAGAACAGTGTGGAGGCCCACAAAGGTTCCTAGTGAGAGCTGAGCTTGCTTTACCCAGCAGGGCTGCATTACAGGATTGCTTGACCACGTGCGTGGTTACTAGGTGATTGGCTGTGCTAAGGGGAGGTCTTTGCTCCACCCCTTCCCATTTCTTTAAAAAAGCCCTTTAGAAGAGACAGTGAGGGCCTGTGGATGAGGATCCAGGCCCTCCTGAGGCTATGCTGCATTTCTATCTGTTTCTCTCCCCCTCTATATTTCTATCTAAATATTTCTCACTTCTCCCTCCTTAAGAGTACCCTGGGGAAAATGTTGGAGCAGGTCTCCCACAGAACAGATTACATATAAAAGCTAATATGTAATTTTAAAAAGTCGTATTTCAGACCAGTGAAGAAAAATGAATTATTCCACTAAAAATATTGAGACAAATTGGGAAAAAGTAGAGGGGAAAAAATGTGAGAGTTCTACTTTTTACCATTCTGCAAAATACACTCCAGATTCTTTGAACTTGAAATAACTTTTAGCCCCAAAGAAAGCCTTCTTAAGCATGAATCTATTCTGTGTAAAGGAAGACTATATTCTGTGTAACTTAAGAGATTCTCTGAGTGCAGAAAAATAATAATTCTCTGAGTGGATAAAATAGGCCACACACAGACATCCTATTTGGAAATAACTTACTTGAAACTAAACAATCAGATGATATGGAGGGCTATTAAATATATGACACAGTGTTATAAAATTTCTAATATATAAAGAACAGTTGCAGACAAGAAAAATGCATACCCTAATGTTTTAGTTAGGTTTTTTTTTTTTTTTTTTTTTTGGTTTTTCGAGACAGGGTTTCTCTGTGTAGCTTTGCGCCTTTCCTGGAACTCACTTGGTAGTCCAGGCTGGCCTCGAACTCACAGAGATCCGCCTGGCTCTGCCTCCCGAGTGCTGGGATTAAAGGCGTGCTTAGTTAGGTTTTTATTGCTGTGAAGAGACACCGTGACCACGGCAACTCTTACGAAGAAAGCATTTAATTGGGGTGGCTTACAGTTTCAGAGGTTCAGTCCATTATCATCATGACAGGGAGTATGGTGGTGTGCAGGCAGATGTGGTGCTGGAGCTGAAAACTTGAACAAAAGAGACCTCAAAGTCCATCCTCACAGTGGCACACTTCCTCCAAAAAGGTCACACCTTTTTCAACAACCCACATTTTAACAGTGCCACTCCCTTTGGGGGGCATTTTCTTTCAAACCACCACACCTAACAAAATAGGCCAACCACTCAAGTAAAAAGTACAGATGAGAGGTGCAGACATGTTGTATGATGGGATGATTCCTGTTTAGCCATTAGTAAATTTTATAAGGAGACAATACTAAAGAGACATAATAAACCACTTTGCAAGATCATCCTAACTGTTTATATATCCTCTTAATTATAACAAAATCATCCAGGCCAAATCCAGGAAGTGTCACAATTGAGAAAATTCCATTTTCGATAGCTAACATGTTAGCAGTGACTCAGGTCAGTGGTTATGGTCATGGGGAGATGACTCTAGGCAGCTTCAGAAAAGCCTTTTATCCTTGGGTCTGTCAAGGTGAAGGAGAAGCAGAGCCCACCAGTTCCTCTTTAATTGACTCATCCAAAGCTTCAAAAGATCCTGTATAAATATCTCTTCCCACTAGGACCAGGGTTGCTTACGAGTTATGGTTTGGGTTTTAATTTTAACCATGGCTGAAATAAAGAATTCAGAATTTATAATACCCATACCTGTATGGCCTACTGACATCGTTAGTGACCCTGACAATAATACAGTTTTATACAAGTCAAAGGAACTTTCTCGGGAGTCAGGGTGACAGAAAGCTTGAAACGACCTTGGGAAGGACCAAGTAAGTGTCCTCAGAGAGGACAGTTGCCGAGGTGACCAGAAGCCTAGCCTTCTCCCACATGCTCGACACCTTCCCTAGAAGTCAGCTCTTCTGCCCTTATCTCCTGAGGAGAGGACCTGATTTTTGTTCTCTTGGTATTTTCCAGGGCAAGGTGGACATTCTTACCTCAAGGAATGGGTGTGGTGGGCAGGACTTCTGTCGAGTAAGTATGGAACTCAGGAGTTTTCAGACTCAACTACTCTCCCCTCCTGTGGAGGATGGAACTGGGTCTGGAAGTGACTGTGGTGACATTGCATATTGCCTACATAACTATGTACAGGTTGTTTTCATTCCTCTGACACCTGCTCTGTGCTTTCACAGAGTGCAGAGGAAGAAGTTAGTGTTTCAAATATATTTTACTACAAACATCTCCTATTTCCCATGAGAACTGAGAAATATTTTCCCTTCTGTATCTTCTGATTCTTTTTAAATTATTTACTTATATATTAAGTGTATGGCTGTTTTATTTATTTATATATTAAGTGTATGCCTGTTTTATTTATTTATATATTAAGTGCATGCCTGTCTTATTTATTTATATATTAAGTGTATGCCTGTTTTATATATATATATATATATATATATAGTATGCCTGTTTTATTTATTTATATATATATATAGTGTATGCCTGTTTTATTTATATATATATATAGTGTATGCCTGTTTTATTTATATATATAGTGTATGCCTGTTTTATTTATTTATATATAGTGTATGCCTGTTATATATATATAGTATATGCCTGTTTTATTTATTTATATATAGTGTATGCCTGTTTTATTTATTTATATATAGTGTATGCCTGTTTTATTTATTTATATATAGTGTATGCCTGTTTTGCCTGTATTGCTCTGTGCACAATGTGCATGTAGTACATGAGGAGGCCAGAAGAGGGCATCAGATCTGGAGTTACAGATAATTATGAACCCTACGTGGGTGGTGGAATTGAACCTAGGTCCTCTGGTGGGTCCTCTGGAAGAGTAGCCAGTGCTTTTAACCTCTGAGCCATCTCTCTAGCCCTTCTTCTGAGGTGTTTGTTTGTTTGTTTTGTTTTGTTTTGTTGGGGGGGCGCATTTCAAGACAGGGTTTCTCTGTGTAACAGTCCTGGCTGTCCTGAACTCTCTTTGCAGACCAGGCTGGCCTCAAACTCACAGAGATCTGCCTGCCTCTGCCTCTCAAACCCTGGGATTAAAGGCGTGTGCCATCACCTTGTGGCCTTCTTCTGAGTTCTAAACTAGACTTTGTGGCTATCCTGGCTGCACAATCTCTTGGAAATGGGTGCATATTCCTTATCGAGACCAAACATGGATTCATTAAAGGATTCTTGGACTGTTGATACTGGGGTAGTGTGTATGGCTACATTTATAATATCATGTATACCAAGCAAAAAAGCTCGTGACAGTACAGATGGAAACATACATTAGAGGTGCTGTCTGGCTATCAGCACATGAACTTAAGATTTGCCTAGAACAACATCTATAACATTGAAACTATGAACACTATAAAGGCATCAGAGGAAGTCGAATAGTCTGAAAAGGCTGCCCCAGCTCTTTTAAGGAGAGCAGTCTCCTAACTGCTCTGTAAATTTAGTGTACCAGGCCTTTTCTTTTGGGCCCCCAACCAGCTCTCAAATCATGACACGGAGACGTATTATTGGTTTTGAATGCTTGGCCTAACTTAGGCTTATTCCTGACTAGCTCTTTTAACTTAATCTGTTTCTCTTTATCTACCTTTTGCCTTGGCGCTTTTTGCTTTTCTTTACTCTATATGTCTTTCTTTCCCTCTTACTCCGTGGCTGTCTGGGTGTCTAGGTGGTTGGCCCCGGCAACTCCTCCTTCTCCTTCTCTTTTCTCCTCTTTTGAGCCTCCTTTTGAGCCCCTTTTTTCCTCCAGCCTAGATTTCTCCTCCCATTTATTCTATCTGCCTGCCAACCTTGCCTATCCCTCTCTGCCTAGCTATGGGCCACTCAGGTCTTTATTAGGCCAATCAGGTGCCTTAGGCAGGCAAGGTGAAACGAATGCAACACATCTTTACATAATTAAACACACATCCTTACATTGTTAAACCAATGCAGAATAAGCAAATGTAACGTATCTTTACATAAAGTAATATTCCACAGCATAAGCAAAAGTAACATATCTCTACATAGTTAAAGCGATATTCTGCAGCATAAACAAATGCAACATATGTTGACAAAGTTAAAGTAATTTCCACAACAATTTAGATATTTTTTATGATGTTCTAATACTGGGCACTCCTGCAGTTTGAGTGTGGTAGCAAAGTAGACAAAGAAATAGAGTATAGGCTGCTGTCTCCTCTCTCCGCTATGTGTTTACTTGACACAGCTGGACAGCGTGGAATACCACACTTTCTGGAGAAGTATCCCACTGCAGTCTCTGAGAATAAACTGGCTTTCACACAAAAGCCAGCTCTTGGGGGAATTTCTCTCACTCTGGAAGTTATTTGCAGCACACTACCCGGTGCAGATCTCAAGTTTCTCAGATAACATTACATTCAGACATCCATCGTTAGCACTTTCCAACGGCTACTTGGATCTTCTTGAGCTCCTGAGACATCGTCACTTGCTTGTAGTTCCTCTCCAATTCAGAGATTCCTGCCGTGGGCCTGTGGTGGTGGGGATAACTGGATATCTGCCACCCAGACACCCGATCCCTATAAGCCCTTCTCATTGTATGAGATGCCTGATGTGGCTGCCGTGGCTAAATTGCAAATTCAGTCGTTCTCAACTTACTCCGAAGCTACTGGATTCCAAATATGTTTTCACCGTACAAGTAGCTCAGGTCTCAGTGGAAAACCATGTACTAAGTACGCTCATTTCCTCAACGTCGTCACGTTGCTGTCTCCAGGCAATCACGGTAGCTCTGCGTCTCAAGACAGCATTCCTTTCCCACAGGCTGCAAGAAGTTAAATCATTGCCTTCAGGTAGGCCTCAGCGTCGTTGAGATAGAAGTCTGCTGCTGTCATGAGTCATTTGCCTAGCTCCTCTGATGAAGACCTTATCCCATCTCCTCACTGTTCTGCTTGCTTTCCAGTGGGAGCTGGAGAGGCCGCGAACTTTGCGGCCTATGCATTTGCACCTGCCACCTTGATCACCCCCCTGGGGGCGCTGAGTGTTCTCATAAGGTAGGTGAACAACAGAGGCTTCTGTGGCTACTTCACTATCATCAGCACACTTAAACCATGAGAAGTATTCTGCTAGGAAATCACTGCGCGGGCACACACACACACACACACACACACACACACACAACCAACAACAACAACAACAAAAATGCAACCTGAGCTCTCAAAGCACTGACAGTCCCAAATAATGTCTGGGACGCCTGAGAGCTTAGAGACAAGCCATTCATAATATAGACATAAAAGATTATTTCTTGGGCTAAGAATTGCTAACATGCAAATGGCCTTGAGTTTGATCCCCAGCAAAGAAAAAAACTAATCTTGCCTCTTGAAAAAAAAAAAAAAACAATTTGAGAAAGCTACATAAAAAAAAAATTAGCAAGAGAAATAGGAGCGATACTGCCATGCTCTTAATAAGAAACAAGCAGAACAAAAAGAAAAAGAAAAGAAAGAAAGGAAAACCTGACGGGAGAGCTTGACTCACTACTGACAAGGAAATTGCCAATTCTGTTTGTGATGATTCAGTGAAGCCTAGCCAGAGGGTTTTATACCTCTCACCTGAGCAAACTGTGAACCTCCTTTGAATTTTTCTTGTTGCCATAGTTTAATGACATAGATTAATGACAACAGTTATCAGAAGGCTTTCAAGGCATACGTCGTGTTTAAGCTAAATTTCAACTCTTTCTACAATCCCATCATTGCCTGCTGGGTACCTGTGCTGGGTTCCCTGTGCTAGGATTTCCTGTTTTATAGGATGTGGGTGTCCTAGTTTGATCTGTTGCCTTGATAAAAGCATTACCAAAATCAGCTGGGGGAGGAGAGGGCTTCAGTTTGTATCTAGTCTCTCACTGAGGGAGGCCAGGGCCGGAGTCAGGGCCGGAACTGAAAGTAGAAACCCTGCAGAGACACTACTTACTGACTTGCTCCCCACAATTCGCTCAGCTTGTTTTCTTATACAACTCAGGAACACCTGTCCAGGGTTGCCACACTCCTAGCCGGCTGGGCCCTCCCACATCAATCATTAATCAAGAAAAGCCCACAGATCAGTCTGATGGAGGCAACTCCGCAGTTGAGGCTCCCTCTCCTCAGATGAATCTAGTTTGTGACAAGTTAACAAAACCATCCAGCATAATGGGTCTGACTTTTCTGAGTTGGGCTGTATTAGCATTCAGGTGAATGTGGTCCATGAGCTGTGAACTCTTTGTGTACCTTGGCTACCATTTTTGTTGTCTTTGTCTTTTTAGAGTCTGTAAATTGTCAGTATCTAGTAGAAAACTTCTGACTAGGCCTATCTACTTCTTTCTGTCTTTATAGAATTGAGAGATTTAAATGAGTTAATGTGTAGAAAGCTGTCTGAAGACTTAAGTTTTCACTGGGGCTGCAGTCCCCCAAGTGACCACGAGAGGGCAACTCTGAGAAAGCACCTCCTAAATGCCCTCCGTCTTGAGGTCAAATGGCACCATTTATTGAAAATGGTAAGAAAGAAGGCTGGTGAGCAGAAGCCTCAGAGAGCCTCTTGGTGTAGCAGAAGGATGTCCTACTGTGGTGTCTATGGCAGTGCCAACCTTGAGCATTTTGAAAGCAAGTCATGACAAGCAAAGCGTTGGGAGCTTTAGATGGGCGGAAATATCCAGGCAGGGATGGACAGGAGAAAAAGTTTTACTGTTTGACAGTCTGGATGGTTGTACAGGTATGTGTTAGTTATGTACCAACTCTGAACAGAGTACCTGCTAGCTAGGTGTATATCTTTCTATCGTGTGTGTGTGTGTGTGTGCGTGCGTGTGTGTGTGTGTGTGTGTGTGTGTGTGTGTGTGTGTGTGTGTGTGAAATGAAGGCCAAAAGACAGCTTCAGGTGTCATTTCTCAGGCACTGTACATGTTTTATGTTGAGTCAAGGTCTCTCACTGACCTGGAGCTTGACAAATAGGTTAACTGGACAGCGAGCCCCCAATCCGTTGGTCTCTATCTCCTCAGCTCTGGGGTTTGAAAACTATGCACAACCACCCTGGCTTTTTCGCAAGGGTCTTAGTCATGAAACTCAGATGTTTATTCTCATGCAGCATGCACTTTACTGAATGACCCATCTCCCCAGCCTAGGATGAATGTCTTTGAAACATCGTGGTCGCTTATATTCTAAATGTACAGGTTGGACGTCCCTGATTCTAAACTCAAAGCCAAGGTGATCCTCAATTGGAAACATTCTGAGCCTGCGTAGGATGCCATAAGTGAATAATTCCTTACCTGACCTCATGTGACAGACTGCAGTCAAAACATGAGCGTATCAAACATATTGTGTAAAATTTCCTTCCGGTGAGCCTGTCAAGTCTACATGACACACAGGTGACTCTTCTTTTTAAGCCCAGGTTCTCTTCCTAAGAGCTCTCATACATGCAAATAAGCCACAACCAAAACACCTACCATGGAACCATTTCAGGAGCTAAGCATTGCGGATGAGGGATGCTTACTTTTGCCCGTGAGCTATAAGAAACTTTTCATTGCAGTTACTTTACAGGAGTCGACTGGAAACTAATTCAGCTCTAAGAGGCAATGGGGAGACAACAGGAGCATAGCATGTCTCCCGAGCTATACAAGTAGTAAACTACCGCTGCTTAACCACCATTGCTGAACTATGCGTGTAAGGCTTTCCAGTGTCACCCAGCGCATTCTAGTTAACTCTGTGGGGTGCGGGGCCACATGTGCCACAGTGTGACCTCAAAACTGCGGTGGAATCAGAGGGTAACTGAGCTGTGCCGATTTGATTTTTTTTCTCTCTCAACAGCGCAATATTGTCTTCCTATTTTTTAAACGAGCACTTGAACATTCACGGGAAAATAGGCTGCATTTTAAGCATACTGGGGTCAACTGTGATGGTTATCCATGCCCCCCAAGAGGAAGAAGTCACTTCTTTGCGTGAAATGGAAATGAAATTGAGAGATCCAGGTCAGTGGTTCAGCCTTCAAAACAAACAAAACCAAACAAAACCAAAAAAAGGAAAGCATACACCCACCAAAGTTACTGCCTCTTTTCCTCGTCGAGTGATGTGTTTGGGCTTGGTTTGGTTGTTTGGTTTGGTTTGTTGAGATAGGACCTCGCTATATAGCCCAGGATGGCCTTGAACTTACAGTCCTCTTTGTCAACCTCCAGAGTACTGACCTTACCCATGCTCCACCATGCCCATCACCACAGGAAGTTTGTGTCGACACTGAAGGTACCCTGCAAGCCCGCTGTGGGCTGTAAGCCACCGTGAGAGTTGTTCATTATAACTTCTTCTAAGAAGTTAACAGTTCGTTTTTGTGTCTGTGTGTCCTTGTCACACAGCAACAGAAAGAGATGAGGCCAGTGGAGACAAAAGATTTCTGATGAATCCAAATCCCTGCCCCTCTTCCTTAAGTAAAAATATAAAACGCTATACCTGGCCAGCCTTGTAGTGATACTGTGGAGATTCAAATGATATGTTTGTGAGTTGCTCTATGAATCACTAAGGAGCCGAGTGGTATTTATTCAACTCCTCACGTGTTCTAAATTCCTGTGATTTGAAATTGATGACTAACGGCACCTTGGAAAGGTTTGGTCCTGTCAGCATCTCCTGAGCCTGATTCTTTCTCCTCCTAACAGGCTTCATTTCCTTTGCTGTGATCGTCTCTGTGATCTCCTTGGTGCTGATTGTGATCGTGGCGCCCAAGAAAGGACAGACTAATATACTGGTCTACATCGCAATCTGTTCTTTGATAGGAGCGTTTTCGGTTTCTTCTGCCAAGGGCTTGGGAATTGCCATCAAGGAACTGCTAGAGTGGAAGCCTGTTTACAAGGATCCCCTGGTCTTCATTCTGTTGGCTGTGCTTATACTTTCCATAATGACACAGGTTAACTATCTCAACAAAGCCCTGGACACTTTCAACACCTCTCTGGTGACTCCCATTTATTACGTGTTCTTCACATCCATGGTGGTGACATGCTCTGCCATCTTGTTCCAGGAGTGGTATGGCATGAAAGCCAGAGATATCATTGGTACCCTGAGTGGGTTCTTCACCATCATCAATGGCATCTTCCTCCTCCATGCCTTTAAAAACACTGACATCACCTGGAGTGAGCTCACATCCACTGCTAAGAAGGAGGGCCTTTCTCCAAACGGCAGTCAGAACAGTTACGTTTTACTAGAGAATGCAGACTATTCAGCCGCGGTGTATGATGATGATGTCACCCTGTTTAGCAAGACTGATGACCAAAGTCTCCATAAACTTTGAACTTCAACCAAGACACCTGGAAACAAACAACACTTGCTCTTGGAAGATCTGTTTGTATGTTAGCATATTTAACACTGTACCAACACTCTGGATGGGAGGCCAAGACAAAAGCCAAATTGGAAAATCAAGTTTGATCTTCTTCTAGAAGATTTGTGTCTTTCTATTATGTTTTTTGCAACCATTGAAACAGATCCGGAGACAAAAGAAGTCAAGGGCTTATATTTGTCTCTGGATAATTCTTCTGGTCAATAGGTTTGGCACTGCTGGGTGGCAGTTCATTTCTCTGCTGCCTAGTCATGGACTCAAGGTGATTGGCAGATCAAGTTAACTGGGTTCTGACTGCGTGGTCTCTGATGAGTCATAATCTGAAGCTATTAAAACTAAGAAATGGGAAGACTGGAGCTTTGTCCTCTCATCTGCAAATACCTTCTTTAAAATATAAAAGAACATAATGACCTAAAATGTACATGACACATACATTTTTTTTCTTTTCCCCAAACACACACAAATGATTATGTCAGAGATTCTATTAACACAGACCTGGCTGAAATAAGCAAAAATGTGTTTTCCGGAAGACTCAGGTGAATTTAGCTTTGCAGTGACTTACAATAGCCAATTTGTTCCTTTTTCTTTTCTTTTTCTTTTTTTTTTGGGGGGTTGGAGTTTGGATATTTTCTTTGGGTTTGTTTATTTTTTCAGGCAAGCTCTTGCTCTATGACGCAGGCTAGCCCAGAGCTCATCACAACTCTCCTGCTTCCACCCCACTGAGTGCTGGGGTTACAGATGTGCACCACCACACTTCTTTTTGAAAATTATTATTCCATAGGTTTCTTCTCGTCGACATGGAGGTCTCTGTAAAGCAACTCCACAATGTGACATATAAAAACATGCTTCAGTTTTTCTCAAATGTCTTATCTCTCAGAGGCAGGTCTTCTAAAACCAAAAACAACTAACAGATTCTTTGTGATGTCCTAATGTTCTTTTAAAGCTTCCCACTTTCATCTTTATTAAGGAAATTATGAACCCCGTTTCTAAATTTTCAGAATGGGCACAACCTGTTGCTGTTTTGAATTATGGATGCGTTTTCTTGCCAGTTGAGTTCATCTTGGCCACGCTTTCCAATTCAGCTCATTGATGAGTGTATAGGGAGAGAGAAATTCCTAAAAACAAAGTGTTAAGACCCCGGACATACTACAGGAAGTGTCTTTTGCTCATTAAAAGTTTGCATTTGATTTCCCTGACTCACTCTAGATTCCTCCTCTTAAGAGTCCTGGGGGGGGGGGGGGATGGGGGGGGGATGGGGGGGGTTGTGTTACTGTTGGGGGCAGTTAACTGCACTGTATGCTTGTGGACGCTGATAAGCCATGGGCATTCCATGAGTTGATACCTCAAGTCAAATCCATGTTTACTATCCATCACTGACTCACTTTGTGTATCAGATATATAAGCTGTGAACACAAGTTTGTAGGAATTATCTTCTGAAACGGCAGTGTGTTTGAAACTTGTACAAATTATTTTACTGGTTTTCTTTTTTAGCTTTAAGATCTCTGCTGGGTCCTCCAGGGTGTCTTCTTGGTGAGGACATTGATCATCTCTCTTGACATCTTTCCTCAGGTTGTGGCAGTTCTCCATTCTACTGATTTTAACTGTAAGACGTTTATTAAATGCCGCCTGTTACTTGACGCCTTAGCTGTCAAGTTTTGCCCTTGGTACATTGCACACAGGTCAAAGGTTCCTGGAACACAAGAATCGGTGTGTCCTGGGTTGGGAAATGAACTGGTGGTGACATATGTGCCCAGGAGGAAGATTGAGAGATTTAATGAGTTGTCATATGCAGAGAAACAATGGAATGTTGGCAGAATGCTCTGGAAATTAAAGTGTGACTATAAATCTAACATCAAAACAGAACCTTCTCAAGTAAGAAGATTCTGCGTAGGGAAGAGTAAGCTGTGCCCCTAAATTCACTCCGTGTCGTTTGAACTGCTCGTCCCAACTCTGCATCTGAGTGCACTCACCTTGTCATCACATAGGCATGATTTCTTTGGTGAATATCAATACCTGTGTAAAGAAAACAGGTTTCTTTTTTGATTGATAATTTCCCTGTCAGGTCAATGATTCTATTTCTAGTCCAGAGTAAAAGATATTAACAAAATTCTTTAGATGTAACTACATTGGATTAAATTAACACTTCCTTCAAAAAAAGGAAAATAGTAATTCACATGCATAGAAAGCTTCCTATATCATGCCCAGTAAATAACAGGCACCTCCCTAAAGTTGATTCTCATTGACTCAACATTCTAATCCTCACGTTCTTCTTACTAGAAAGGGGGAGCACAAGATTTCATGAATCCCTCATCTTTCCTCAATTTTGGTCACATTATTCATTTTAGACAGTTCAAGGGAAGGCGTACTCATCATTGTCCACTCTCAATCATGATATAAAGCCATTCCTACAAAAATATTTTTCTTGGAGCGGGGAATGTAGCTCAGCAGCACAGCGCTCCATCAGCATGCACACAAGGCCTTGGATTTGGTCCTCAACATGAGGGGTAGAGAAATGATAAAACCAGTGAGGCCAAACAAAATGTCACTTTCACCTTCAAAAGCTTTTGGGAGTTGGGGGTCATATGAATATGTTGAATGTTCTTGAGTATTTTTGATAAACTGTGTTCATGAAAGTTTGTATTTTTCAAATGCTTATACTCTTCATTTTACATAGTTTATAAATTTGTAATGTTTCTGTATATTTCCAATAAAATGATGTGGTTTTCTTTTTGACAGTGCTGAGTTATAGACATTGAGAGTTGTTCCCATTTTGTTTTGGACTTCAAAGAAAGTTCTGGAGTTTAGGGGCAATCCTGCACAGGAGCTCACACTGCCTTTTCTTTACCATGGACATCTGGTGGGGGCAGGCTCTCCACCACACCATCTGCCAGAGCAGACTTGGCACCTGGATAAAAGAAACTGTCTTATCGTTCAACAATTTTATTAAGCAAAATAGCAATTCAAAGCAGTTAATAGCGAGGAAGGAGAAAGGATAGGAGGGGCTTGCAGGCAGAGAGAATAAACAGAAGGAGAAAAAGAAGGATTGGGAAGCAAGAGAGGTGATTAAGCAGCAAGGAAAGAAGGGGCCAGCCACACAGCCACACAGCCAACAGTCACACAGCCACACAGCCACACAACCAGCCACGGAGTAAGAGTGAAAAGACATACAGAAGTAAGAAAAGGAAAAAGCCCAGAGACAAAAGGCAGATGCAATAAATTAAGAAAAGCTGGCTAGAAATAAGCCAAGCTAAGGCAGGCATTCATAATTAAGAATAAGCCTCCGTGTGTTTACTGGGAACTGGGTGGCAGGCCCCCCAAAAGAGCAAAGAACAGAGAGTACAAGAGCGAAGACTAAAAAACAACCAACACAGAACCCCAATCAATTAGCTATGGAGAAAGTCTAGAACCCCTCCAGAGGAGTCCCTGGGTGTTGTAAGGTGGCCCTGCCCTGTGCTAATAGATCACACCCAACTTCCAAAAAGTACAGTCACAATGACCTAGCCTAGTCCTAACCAAACAGGTTGATACCACAGACTGGCAGAGGAGCTTTCCAGTTCCAGACTCTGTCTCTCAACCAGCCTTTGTGTTTGTCTTCACACTAAAATCTCACCATATTCCTACAAGAGTTTCAAATGATTGTCATTTCAATAAAAGATCCTTCTAAGCCGGGCGGTGGGGGTGGCACACATATTTAATCCCAGCACTTGGGAGGCAGAGGCAGACAGATCTCTGTGAGTTCAGGGCCAGCCTGGTCTACAGAGTGAGTTCCAGGACAGCCAGAGCTACACAGAGAAACCCTGTCTCAACAACAACAACAATAACAACAAAAGGGTTCTTCTCAGACTGGAGAGATGGCCCAGTGGTTAAGAACACTTGTTGCTTTATCTTAGATCCTCAGTTCAGGTCCCAGAATCTACACTGGATGGCACACAGGCCCAACTACAGGGACTCTGACACCCTCCTGTGGCCTCTGTGAGCAACCTGCACCCACATACATATGGGCTTAAATTTAAAAAAGAAATTTCTCATGCCTTAACTGTGGAACTACTTACAGTGAATTATAATGAACAAGTCTTGAAGAAAACAGACAACAAGAATTCCTCTGGGCACAACGAAACAGGGCTTTATTTCACCATGGTTACCTAGACTGAGCTAAATTCCTTCCAAGTAATCTTGTATGCACTCATAACAAAAGAGAGCAAAGCTTCCTAGTGTTTGGGGAGTCTGCTTCTCAGGACCACAGGACCTAAGTATCCACAATGCGGCAATTCTGTCTCTTCAACAAGTGCCGAGATAGACATTCAGCCCAGAGAGGCCACAACACAGAGGTTCCCTGAGTCGAAGGCAAGGCAAGCATCAGCTGCAAGGTGATTTTGTCTCACTGTGGGAACGAAACTGGCTTAGAAGCAGGCTGGACTTGGGGAGCTTGATATGATTCCAGTTATACACAGAGTTCCACTTACAGGGTGGCACCTGCTGATTGGAGATTAGCCTGCAGCACAAAGGAGAAGGAAAAAGCGTGGAGAACTGGTCCAACAAGATCAAGTCTGCACTATATACCCACAAGGTGGACACGTGACCTACTGTCACCACAGCTGAGCAATTCCCACCGTAGCTAGCACTCCCATCCAACACATCTGTGTGTCTACTGTCTCTAAAGGGGGACAACTGAAATAGATCAAAGAGGGTCGCTAAGCAGAAACACGTACAAAAAAGAATTAGAAGGACTAGTTAACAATACATTCACTTGGTTTTCATTTCTCAAATCAACTGGCAGACTCCACAAAGTAACAAGTCCTCTTTAAAAACATATTGGAACTTAAGGTGGGCAGTGGTGTCACACGCCTTTAATCCCAACAATCAGGAGGCAGAGGCAGGTGAATCTCTGAGTTCATGCCTAGCCTGGTCTACAGAGTGAGTTCCAGGACAACCAGGGACTACACAGAGAAACCCTTGACTTGAAAAACCAAAAGAAAAAGAAAAGGAAAAAAAGAAAGGAATGTCTGACTTTGCCCTGAGGTTTCGTGAAATTCTACACGCAGTGGGCCCTCTCATGAGAAGTCTATTGGCAACCCCATCTCGCCAATGTTTCAGAGACTACAACATCCTGCCCTGGGTTTGGGCTTTTGGGCTTTTGGTTGTCTTCATTGTGTTTTCCCTGCATTGCTCAACTTTGATCCCAAAGCTATTCTGGCTTCTGATCCCCGTCCATCAGTGAAACAGCAGGGAGGCTAGCTCAGGCACATGATGACTTAGCTAGGCACAGCCTAGTAAGTCTGTTAGTCACCAGGCACTGAAGGAATAGGCTTCTTCTTTCATCCTGCCTTTTAACAAACTTCACAAGAATCCTCAATGCAGAGGAAATTTATCTTCACAGGGATTTATCCACTACAATGATCTGGTAGCATATTCCCTTCACCTGAAGAGGTATGGATCTTGATTGTTGAGGTTTTTTTTTGAGGGGGGGTATGGAGGTGGGAGTTGGAGACAGGGTTTTTTGTTTGTTTGTTTGGTTTTGGTTTTTCGAGACAGGGTTTCTCTGTGTAGCTTTGCTCCTTTCCTGGAACTCACTCTGTAGCCCAGGCTGGCCTCGAACTCACAGAGATCCACCTGGCTCTGCCTTATGAGTGCTGGGATTAAAGGCAACCCTGCACCACTACTGCCCATTTGGAGACAGGTTTTTTTGTGTAGCCTTGGCTGTCCTAGTACTAGCTCTGTAGACCAGGCTGGCCTTGAACTCACAGAGATCCACCTGCCTCGGCCTCCCCAGTGCTGGGATTATAGGTGTGCGCCCCCAGATATGGGCTGGATCTTGTTTTTCTTTTATTGCTTTGTTTTGTTTCCATCCCTGTAACATCACCACAGACCAATTAACAGAAAGTCTAAGCAGAGAGTCAAAGCCCAGAGCCAGAATAAACACACAGTGAGTTTTAGCCAATATTTTTCAAAGATGGCCTACTTAAACTGCTTGTTGTGGGATGTTTGTGGCCCCCTCTTTTTCCTCCAGGTCATATATTGAAGCCCTCACTCTCCAGTTTGATGTTTTCTGGAAGCAGAAAATTTGGAGAGAATTAAGATTAAATGAGTTCCTGATGGAGGAGTCTTCCCGATGAAAAAAGAGACACCAGGAATCCTGTTCTGTCTTCCTTTCCCATGTAAGAAATTGCGAGAACTTGGTCATCTACATGTCAGGAAGAGAACCTCC